AAAAAAATAAAAAAAAAAAAGAATGAGGCTGAGAATAAGAGTACCTGATTCTGACCCTAGTGCTGATACTAACTGCCTGTGTGACCACAGTTTCCTTATCTCTAATGTAATTTTCCACATGCATGCTATCCAAACACCTCTCAGTCACTTTGACCAACACTTCACAATTGTATCTATTTTTGCCCTAGAGTTCTTGAATTTGCACATTTGCACATTAGGCACTCCAACTTTGTAACACACATATGAAAACTGAGGGAAAATACATTTCCTTGAGTTTATTAGCTCAGATAGAAGCCAAAGAAGGGCCATTTAAGTGTTTCACCAGGATTTTTCTGATAATCAACTCAGTGCTACACAATACCTGGCCATGAACTCATATCCAAAAACTGCAGTCATGATTACTCATCACTCTGTCTTGACCCAGTCTGCTCAAGTACAGTTAGATTGAACATAGGTGACTGAACTTATTGGCTTTGCTTTACAGAGAAGCATGCACTCTTCTCCACTTCATTCAGTAATTTGCTCCTAATAATGTATCCACTGAAAATAAAACATGGAAACAAGTCCAATAAAACAGTACCTTCACAGCTGGCTTGTTAATTGCATTGTGGCATTCAATGTGCTGGCAGTGGATGGGATTCCAAGCTGTAAAGCAAAATAGAACCGATGAGCACTTATCATTGAAATTATTCCTGCTCTAGTGAAAACGCAGCATACTTCACTAGCTTTTTTTCCCTAAGTAGAAGCACCATCAGATGGCTTCCTAGAAGAATCATTTTTTAAAAATCTATGAAAAATGTTTAAATCAGGCAAAGATATCACAATTCTATCCATTTTCCAAAGAAGAGAAAGACAACAGAAGGCAGCATACACCATATATTACCTCACAATGTGTAACATTAACAAGTCTGCAAAAGTTTTTACAACTATATTTTCACTTGATTCTACAATAACTCAGTGGGCTATGTATAGCCGATTATTACTTCATTTAATGTAATAGTAAGTTTTGAAATTAAAAAGGTCAAGTAGCTTGACATGATTATAATTAGTCAACACAAGTCGGGTCTTGAACCTATATCCCTTGATTTCTGATGCTCTTCTCTTTTCATTGTGGTGTACTATAATAAACATCTTATATTTTTTGGTGTCAGGAAATGTTTCAAATTTCTAAATGGCCTAAGGCATCCTCCAACATTCCATTTCCCACTGCATCCCCATCAAATGTAGAAACTGGGAAGATAAGTTTATTGCCCAAATGAAACTGATCTCTCTCTCTCTCATGTGACCCACGTTCTGAACCTCTGCTAGTTTGCTGACATCTGTATCTGACTCCTTAACTAAGCATATATAAAGGATGAGGAAAAGAACTAAGTGACCTGGGAAAAATCACAGCCAGTAATTACCATCCTCCAGATGATCATGTAGCCCAATGAGTTAACTAGCAATATTCCATCATTTTTTTTAAATGTAATGTGACTGAAAGTAGGACATCCTTCTAAATTGCCATATACTAAACTTATAGGACCACAGGTCAATTTTTTTAAAAAGAAGATAAGAAGTATACACAAAAGACCACTATTCTAATAACATAGTATCATATTGCTTACATCTTTAGAGAAAAGAAAGAAGAAATAAATGAGTAAATGAATGAATGAAGAGATAATTTGGATAGGGGTATTTCATAACAGATTTGTTTCCCAAATGTAGCAAAATCAAGATGAATACAAAGAGTGGCAATATATTTTCCTGTGCAATTAGAGAAACTTAAAGACAGTGATTGCCTTTAACTGCATACACATTGTAAATACATGGGACACGTGGCTCATTCCTCCAATCCCAACTCATGACAGACATCACAGCATTCCTTCCTACTGAATGTGCAAGAATGTGCAAAAGTCATAGCACTTGATCAGGGTTCTAAATACTTCTGCTCTTCCATAAACCCATGCCTTTTGTGTGGATAGTGGGGATATGCAGGAGGTTGCATTCCTCTCAGTTTTCATTCTACTTTTACCAAGTATCACTGAATTAGAAATATTTTGTAGGATACTATGTTCATCACATTAGGAGAAGGGTGATTCTTAGATTTTGCTAATGTCAAAAACCACTTGTCACTGGATATGGTGCCACATGCCTATAATTCTGAGACTTGGGAGGCTGAGGCAGGAGGATCACAATTTGAGGCCAGCCTTAGCAACTTAGTGAATCCTCCAATAATTTGTTTTAAAACCTGTTAAGGTTTTTAAAATATGAGATCTAAAGCCCATGTTAGATCTATTGAATCAAAATTTCTGAGATTAGCCAGGGACAGTGGTACATTCCTATAATTCCAGCTATTCAGGGAACTGGAGGCAAGAGGATCATGAACTCAAAAGCCCAGCCTGGGAAACTCAAGACTCTACTTCAAAACAAAAAAATAAAGAGGG